TTAAATTTCTTCCTTGAGGTCAGGAAGGTGTGGTGCAGGTTAGAGAGTAAGGATTAGACAAAAAAAAGAGAGTTAAGAAAACAGGTAAAGTAAATGTGAGGAAATTACATTTTTCCTTTGCAGTTTATGTGGGTTTATTCTTTGTACTGTGGTCAGAAAACATAAAACCTACTATTTTATAGCACAATAAGGTGAGTATAGTTAATAATCATTGTGTATTTTAAAATAATTTAAAGAATATAATTGGATTGGTTTTAACTCAATGGATGAATGCTTGAGGGGATGGATACCCCATTCTCCATGATGTTGCATGCCTGTATCAAAATATCTTATGTACCCCATAAATATATACACCTAGGTACCCACAAAAATTTTAAAAAATTAAATTGTTTTTAAAAAGAAAACACATCAATGCAACTTTTTTACCACTAGAAATGTACAAACGAAAGTGAATGAAAATAAGAAAATGTTCAGCACTTTTCTATCAGTGGTGAAAAACTAGCGTTTTTAATCTCTAATTGACCCCAGCTGATATTTTTGTAAAAATAGAATGAAAATTATCAGAATTTGAAAATGCATAAAGCAGATTTCCAAAATCCAAGTCCAACCTTTATTACTTACAGACAAGAGAAAAAATTCTTTAGCCAAATGACCATAAAGCTGCTATTTATGGATTATTATCCCTAGACTCAGTGGTCATGGATGTGTAAGTCTGCCAATCAGCACTTGTCTATGGGCCACACTTCGAGTAACATTGCCCTTCACCTCCTTTGTGTTCTGTTTTGCATATTTTTCTGGTATCTCTGAATTGTACTTTTCCGATATCAGGGATGGGGATCTGAACATCTGTCATTCTAGATAGTACTTTATTGTGTTGAATAACAATTTAAGAAAACAATTAAAAATTTCCCTCATGCTAAAAGGAAAGACATCAGCTTGAAACTATAACAAAAACAGAGCTACTGGAACACTGTATTGTTTTATATTAGAAATACCACTGGTGGTTTAAGTCTCTTAAAGGATAGTTAATTTGGGGACTCTTTTGGTTTATACTGTTTAAGTGTAATAAGAATAGAAAATATTAACCATTGTCAATTGTCATTCAATTTAGAGACTTCATCAAATCTTCTGTGTCCTCTGAAAGTTCTGGAAACTGTCTCAGTGCATCAATTAATAGTAGGGTAGCCAGATTTAGGATATAAAAATATAAACTACCCAGCTAAATTTGAATCTCAGACAAGCAATGAATAATTTTTATAGGTGTGTTTCAAATACTTTTGAGACATACCATATGTAATATTTTAGACATACTTTTATTTTAAAGCTTATTATTTTCTGAAATTCAAATTTAACCAGCTGTCCCGTATTTTGTCTGGTAATTCTAATTACTGGTCTTTTGGCCTGGACTTCTGCCGCTGTAGACTTTTCCGGGGAGAAGAATTGGCCCTGCCAGATCAAATCTAGCCATATCGACCAGATTTGCTTAGCTATTGGCAGCTAGAAGCTAGAAGTCAATAAAAGTGAAGATATTTCTTTCAGAAAAAATGTGTTTCCCATGCGGCTAAGGAGTTATGTGTTTTTTCCTGCCTTGAGGCTTTTAGTTTCATGTTTTCTAGTGCACTGGTCCGAGGAGGGTACTAATCATGGTAGAAGGCATGCCTATGAGAAGGGCCACTTGGAATCTATGACCTCCATCAGTACAAAATTGACTCAATGTACTGCAAATAGTGGAATTTGTGGTATCAAAATATATAGAAGGCATAGTGAGAGACTGAAAAAAGAAAACCACTATTCCTGCAATACATTATAAATAAACTGTCAGAGACACATCAATATTTGAAAAAATGTGAATTTAGTGAGAAGCACATGGCAAAAGTCCTATTCTTTTTCCAATGGCTGTTCTTCCATTGCTATAAAGAAATACCAGAGACTGAGTAATTTATAGAGAAAATAAGCTTAATTGGCTCATGATTCTGCAGGCTGTACAGGAAACGTAGGTCGGACATCAGCTTCTGGGGAGGCTTCAGGGAGCTTACAACCACAGTGCATGGCAGAGGAGTAGGCACATCACATGACAAAAGCAGAATCAGAAGCCGGGGACGAGAGATGCCACACACTTTTAAATGATCAGATCTTGTGAGAACTCACTATCACCAAGCCACGAGGGATGAGCCCCGATGATTCAAATACCTACCACAATGCCCCACTGGGGATTACAATTCAATATGAGATTTTGGTAGGGACAGATATCCAAACTATATCAAGTAGAATGTTAAAAATGAAAATATTGCGTATTTATGCAGGTTTAAACCTTTCTCTTTGCCATTCATTGGTAGCTATTATTATTTCATTAAATGATATTTGTCTTTATGTCTTAAATAAGAATTTTAACATCATTTTGATGTAAGACTAATGCTTCCAGATTTTAAAGAAAGACAGACTTTTCTTAAATAGATGTCTGCTTCAGATAGAGAGGAAATGACTAACGTACACATGTAATTTATTTTTCTGTTGTCACTTCTGGGATTTAAAAATTTTCCTCTCTGGTAATAACAAAAATTCTTACTTTAGAATACACTTATCCTAAAATCTCTTTTAAAATAATGTTTATTCAAGCCCATTCAAAAGTGGGCAAAGGATATGAACAGATACTTTATAAAAGAAGACATACATGAGGCCAACATATGAAAAAATGCTCATCATCACTGGTCATCAGAGAAATGCAAATCAAAACTACATTGAAATACCATCTCACGCCAGTTAGAATGGCGATCATTAAAAAATCTGGAGACAACAGATGCTAGAGAGGATGTGGAGAAATAGGAACACTTTTACACTGTTGGTGGGAGTGTAAATTAGTTCAACCATTTGAACTAATGGTTGGTGGAAGACAGTGTGGCGTTTCCTTAAGGACCTAGAAATAGAAATTCCATTTGAACCAGCAATCCCATTACTGGGTATATAGCCAAAGGATTATAAATCGTTCTACTATAAGGACACGTGCACATGAATGTTCATTGCCGCACTGTTTACAATAGCAAAGACCTGGAACCAACCCAAATGCCCATTGATGATAGACTGGACAGGGAAAATGTGGCACATATACACCATGGAATATTATGCAGCCATCAAAAACGTTGAGTTCATGTCCTTTGTAGGGACATGGGTGAACCTGGAAACCATCATTCTCAGCAAACTGACACAAGAGCAGAAAATCAAACACCGCATGTTCTCATAGGCGAGTGTTGAACAGTGAGAACACATGGACACAGGGAGGGGAGCACTACACACTGGGGTCTGTTGGGGGGAAATAGGGGAGGGCAGTGGGGGGAGGGGAGTTGGGGAGAGAGAACATGGGGTGAAGTGCTAGATGTGGGTTATGGGGAGGAAGGCAGCAGATCACACTGCCACGTGTGTGCCTATGCAACAATCTTGCATGTTCTTCACAAGTACCCCAAAACCTAAAATGCAATAAAATTTAAAAAAATAATGTTTATTTTAAATAGTGAAATAACACGTTTATTTTAAGATATATTGGAAAATGCCAAAATTTATCAAAAAGTAAAGTACAATTACAAAATACCTAACCACAGAGGACAAATTTCACTGTGGTTATTTTGGTATTGTTCTTTCATTCTCTTCAGATTTCATAGTCGGAAAACTGCATATATAATACTGTATTCTGATTTTTTACACTATTCAATCTAAACATTTTCCATATTGATAAATGTTTTCTCAGCATCATTTTAATGGTTGAATCATAATCTATTCATTGGTGATTTATTCAACCAACCTGCTAGAGCTGGACATCAGGTTACTCCAATTACTTATACTTAAAATGCTAATAATGATAATCTGTTTTAGATTCTTACAACTGAAATGACTGGAAAATGATATTTAAGACTATATATTTTGTTCAAATTATATTAAAAGCATTATAGACATTTATTAGGAAGGTATAAGTGTGCCAGTCTCACTGATCTTTATAGCTGCCTTATTTATCTTTCATTACATTAGGATTTTCCAAAAAAGTTGAACCATATTTCATATATATAATAGATGTAAATATATATATGAATGTATTATATATATGTATATATGTGAATATATTATATATATGTATATGAGAGATTTCAAGGAACTGGTTCATTGCGGAAGCTGGAGGGTCCCCACAATAACCCTTAGGGTGAGCCAGCAGGCTGGAGACCTAGGGAAGAGCTGGTAGAGAGTCTTGAGTTCAAAGGCAGTCTAGGAGCAGAATTCCTTCATTCTCTAAAGACCTCAGTCTTTATTCTTAAGGCCTTTGACTGACTGATGAGGCCTACCTACATTAGGAAGGGTAATCTGCTTTACTCGAAGTGTCCTAATTGAAATGGTAATCACATTTAAAAAATACCTCACAGCAACACTTAGACTGGTGCATGACCATACAGCTGGCACCATAGCCATGCCAGGTTGACACATGCAATTAACCATCACAGTTGCCATCCAAACAGAGTTTATACTATGTGATAAAAGGCCATGCTCTTTCTTTCCAGTGTTCTGTCTGTCTCCATGCAGACATGATTGATTTACTTAGGACTTTTATGTATACTGCATTTTCCATTTTAAGCACAAAGGTTGTCTCATCCAATTTTCAACTAAGCATTTAAGATTGCCATCAGATGATGCTGAGAACTAAGCCTGTATTTGGGCCCTATACAGACATGTCAGGAATATTCCTCTACCATGTTGTGACTGGGCAGACTTGGAAAGGGTAGTTATATCTTCTTCTTCTCAATTTTCTCTGTTGCAAAGTGCAAAAAATTGTACCTACATCCCAGGTACTTGTGAGTATTCATTGAAGAAATATTTATATTTATAGTAATATGTACTATGTAGTAGGCCATGTGTATATATATATGTATGTATGTATTTGTTTGCTTGCTTCAATCAGTTCAGGTTGCTATAACAAATTCTTGTAGACTGAGTGGCTTAAGCAACAAATCTTTATTTCTCACAGTTCTAGAGGCTGAGCAGTCCCACATCATGGTGGCAGCAGACCTGGTATCTGATGAGGGCTTGCTTCTGGGTTTGCAGATGGCAGGTCTTCTCATTGTATCCTCACATGACAGAAGGGAAAGAAAGATTGTCTCTTCAATGTCTTCTCTTATAAAGACACTAATCCCATTGAAGCCTCTGCTCTACTGACCGAATTATCTCCCCAGGCTCCCACCTCCTAATACCACCACACTGGGGGTTAGAATTCCAACACAGGAGTTTGGGGAGGCTACAAGCATTCAGTTCATCACACTCTTTTCCCCTTTTTTTTGGCTCATCAACTCCAGTACCCATTTCCAACAGTCAGTGTACAAAAACCTTTACCTTTTCAGAATACCTAGTGCTTTAACAGTTCTCCTCTCAGAAAACTTAACATGTAGAAGCCTCATTTACCCTTTTATTTTTTGACAAAATAGTGTCCGTTAACCACTGGTACATAAATGAGATGATTGTAGAGAAACCATTTACAGTAGTTTCCTGCCCCCCCCATCTCCTTCACAGCTTTGTTTCCATGGCTTCAGGTTTCAGGTACCAGTGGTACAGTATGATATTCTGAGAGACTGAGAGACAGACCACAATCATATAACTTTTACTACAGTATATTGTTATAATTGCCATTTGTATGATTATTGTTGTTATTCTCCTATTGTTCCTAGTTTATAAATAAATCTGTCATACATATGTATATATAGGAAAAAACATTATATTAGGATTCGGTACTATCCAAGCTTTCAGGAGTCTTGGAACATATCCCCTGTGAATAAGGGGTAACTACTCCATTTATTTATTTAAGACATATTTACTAAGTGTGTATTAAATCCCAAGGACTGTTCTGTGTGTCAGAATATAATGTGTTACATAAATTTGTTGTCCTGTGGAGCTTAGATATTAATGGGAAGAATACCCAAGTAAGAAAATGCATAACCAAACTGTAAGTAATGCTATATTAAACAGGTAGCCTGGGATAATCTGTGGGAACAATCACCAGATTTTACTAGTGCACTGTAACAAAGGTTTATTTCTTGCTTATGAGAAGTCCACAGTGGCTAGTCCGGGCAGCTATCCAAATTAGCCGCCCTCAGCTTTCCAAGATGCTCCCTTCTTGTGGCTCCTTCATGTCAGCACGCGCTTCCACGAGAGAAGAATCAAACAGCAGCAGCTAAAAGCTTTTACATGTGTCACTTGCTGCTTCATGTTTTATTGGCCTTTGCAAATCACGTGGCCATGCCTACTTTCAGTGGAGTGAGAAAGTGTGACTCTTGGTAGTTAATCCCAGTGGCAAAAGAGAGCTGCATGTGCCTGCCACAAGGATTAAATGCCGTGAAAAATGGAAACAGAGTGAGAGGATATAGGATGTGTCATTTTTGCAAAGATAACAGAAGAAAAATAGACATGAGCCTTCATGTATATTTTTGCTTTCTAATAAAGTATGTATTTCAGAAAAAAGTTAAGTTGATTTAAAGAAAACTATTTAATAACTAATCTTACAAATTGGTACTCAGATATGAGAGAAAACATAAAGATTATACGTGAATGGCTGGTGTTTAGAAATATAGAGTTGTTAAATCCATTTGAGGACAGGGACAATAATATTTATATTGGTACCTTCAATTATTTAGGTGCATAGTAAGTATTTGATAAAACTCTGTTGAAGTTAACAACTCTCCCTTGTTTTAAATTCTTCTTGCTTTTCTACCTGATTAAATGTCTCAAACTATACTATGGCATAATTTTGTCCTGAGGTTTGATACTGTCTTTCAAGGCCAATTTTAATCATCTTAACAGGAATATTTTTATATTCAATTATAGTTTAAATTTGGACCACACATGCTTGAATCACTATATTGTCTCTCCTAATTTGTCTTAGGTGTTTTCCTAAACCACCCGTAAGTATTCTGCAGAGGAAAAATATTTTGTAACAGTACCTTAACGTTGGAATTTGAAATTTACCATTTTGTCTTTTTTTTTTTTTTAATAACTTTTATGTTTAACACTCCTTTGACAACTGCTGTGTTGGAAAGGGATTTCATAAATTTAAATAAAGTGGGCATGAAATGCCAAGATTTAAAAAAATATTCTTTCAAGGTCACGCACGTCCTTCTTGAAGATAGAAGAGTATATGTATATACTTTTTAGCGTAGTAGAATTTTGGTTTTTCCTTACACTTCCTTTCTTTTGCTTTTGACTAAATCTTTTTTTTTTTCTTTTTTGAGATGGAGTTTCTCTATTGTCATGGGAGCTGGGTGCAATCTTAGCTCACTGCAACCTCAGCCTCCCAGGTTCAAGTGATTCTCCTGCTTCAGCCTCCCAAGCAGCTGGGATTACAGGCACACACCACCACATTTGGCTAATTTTTATAATTTTAATAGAGACGGGGTTTCACCATGTTTGTCAGACTGGTCTCGAACTTCTGACCTCAGGGGATCCACCCGCCTTGGGCTCCCAAAGTGTTAGGATTATAGGTATGAGCCACGGTGCCCGGCCTTGACTAAACCTTTATGATTTAAAACACAAATATCCACAGAAAGGACTCAGTTATTCTCTGAGTGGATAGGTCAAGAGCAAACTAGAAGAGACTTGTCATCTCTACCCAGTTGACCTTAATTTCAACATTTCCGTGCCATTACTTCCCCACTTCCCAATGGCAGGTTTAAGGCATCATCTCAGTCCTCTTAGTCAAAAACTTGTCCTAAATCAGTGCCTCAGCCCAGCCTGGTGGCTCATGCCTGTAATCCCAGCACTTTGGGAGGTAGAGGCGGGTGGATCACCTGAGGTCAGGAGTTCAAGACCAGCCTGGCCAATGTGGAAAAACCTCTTCTGAACGAAAAATACAAAAATTAGCCAGATGTGGTGATGGGTGCCTGTAATGCCAGATACTCAGGAGGCTGGGGCAGCGGAAATGCTTGGACCTGGGAGGCAGAGGTTATAGTGAGCCAACAATGTACCACTGCCCTCCAGCCTTGGCAACAGAGCAAGACTCCATCTAAAAAAAAACTAAAAATAAAAATAAATAAACAGATCAGTGCCTCTTCTGTCTAGCCTGTGCATCACGTGAACCAGTGAGAGTCTATGCCCTTTGATGCAGTTTGCTGTCCTTGAGTTTCTATGAAATTTGTTGTTTAGTTGGAAAATACGACACAGCTGTCTTCTGATTTAGAGAATGCCTTAAACCAGTTACCTCCTACCTTAGCTTGATCATTTAAATGGAAAACGCTACTGCTCCAACAGAGCAGAAATGATATAAAAACTATTTCTGATTTGAGTATCTTGCCTCCTGAATTGCCATGGCTACTCTTGTCTCTGAGGGAAGAAAATACAAAATAAAAAATAAACACAGGTTTTACAATTCTCACAAGTGGTAAACCTACTTTGCATTTCTTAAGATGTTCAAGCCGATGACAGTTTATGCCCAAAATATTACAATAATCCAATGAAATAAAATAGCATTTTAAAAAGTAGTAGTTTTGTGTAGAAATTGCGGATAGCATTAATGCATGCTGGGAACTTTAACAGATAATGGGCTGTATCAGTTTTGGCTGAGGAGTTACTTATTTGGCTTTTCATTTGTAAATACGACAGTATTATTTTCCCCTTCAGAAGTATTTAAGCCATGTATTAATAAAAGAAAACGTATATATCTAGTCCATGGTGGTAGAATTGGCCAAAGCAATCCTGGCTTTTGGTCTTACAAGTCTGAATTTGGAGAGACATCAATAGGTTGTTTAAATGACAGTATTCTATAGTTGAAGATGACTGGATGTAGAATCCAAATATTTGTATAGAGTCTTTGCTGTACTGTTAATGATCATTTATTTAGCTTTCCATATCAATTCGTTACTAAGGTTTATATGATCTGGCCCAAGGATACCTCCCCAGCCCAATTTTATGGTCTTTACTCCTCACTTGCTTATTTCAGCCTCTGTATCATATTTTGCACATTCCAAAGACACTGTCCCACTGCAGGCTTTTCTGCAGTCACTGTCCCTGTGACTGCCATGTGTTTCCCCCAGATGCAGGCTGGCATTTGTTAAGCAGGTCCAACATGTTACAAGGTGTTTTAAATGCTTCATGTGTTTATCTGGGTTGGTTCTCATAATTACTGTATGAAGTGAATAGTGATATTTGACGGTTGAAGAAACTAGAAGAGATGAATGCAGAAGAGGCAGGACTGGAACCCAGGCAGTCTGGATGGATTCCAAGGCATAACACTAAGTATTCTCACAGTGCACCATACCCAGAGAATGGTTCACACCCTTGCCTTGACCTTAGGAAAGCATTTTCCCAAGCTGTTCCTTGGAGAGCATTTTCCTATCTTATTTAAACTGGAATCTCTCTGACTTTGTTTCTGTTTACTGTTTCATATTTCCTTACAGCACTATATATTTCCTGACATTGTACTGCGTATTTACTTGTTTATCCCATTGTGTGTTCCCCCAACCCCTCCCCCCACTAAATATAAACTCAATGAAAGAAAGACCTTGTTCTGATTCATTTGCCTCTATATCCTGCCCTGAGGTCAGTTCTTGACCTGTGACAAGGAGTGAAATGTACCCAAAGAGGAATCTAAGTCAGGTTGAAAAATTATTAATTATGTTTAGCATTTTATTCTTCAAACATTTACTGAACACCCATTTTGTGCTCAACTCTATGCAAATTTTTGGGAATGTAAAGGCAGATGAGAACGATGGGAACTCCTGCTCTCCTAGAGTTTAGAACGTCATGGAAGAAACAAACAATAAGCAGGCAAATACATGTAGAATAAGCCTTCGATTAGGACAAACAGAAAGTGCAGCAGAGAAGGTAGGGTTTAGAGAAAGCTACTTTGAGGAAGTGATATCCATACTGAGACATGAAGGACAGGCTAAAGGGTAAGAGAGGTGGAGATGGAGGTGGGGGAGCACTCTGGGAAGAGGGAATGATAGAAGGCTCTGAGAGCATGTTCCTGTCCTGAACGTAGCTCAGTGTGACTCGGGTTTAGGATGTGAGGGGCAGAGATGAAGGTCTGAGAGTAGACGAGAAGCCCAGGGCCAGACAGCTCCTCAAGTGTCCTGAAACCTGTTCGAAAGATTCAGGATTTTATTGTCTGAGAAATGTGATGCCACAGAAGAATTTTTAACTCAGTGTCATTTTTAGTATCGGATTCAATGTACTGCCTTCAGCCAGGAGAGTTGGCAGTATTTCCATTTTACAGATGGGACAACTGAGGCCCCAAATAACACATTTAAGAGATAGGTGGAGTTGATTTAATGTTCTCAATCATCATGCGGTCAGGGTCTCCTAACTCTCCTAACTCCCGCCCTCCATCCTTCCTTGTCTTCTTCTGATTGTTATTCTTGCCAAAAGTAAAACATAAAACTGTTTACCTGCCATCCTTATTTTTATCCAGGGAACACACATACACTCACACAGCTTCCAGAAACCAGTTCCCCTCAGCAGAAGCCAGTTGCTTCAGGGGTGGTGCGGCTTGTATGTGGATGGACACCATATGTCCATTGATCCCAAATTCTCTGTTCTTGACTAGGAAGCTGGATTTGTACCGGGGATCTTTTATCTAAATAGGCAACTCTGGGCTCGGGAGAACAGAGCCGACTTGACAAAGTAGAAAAGAGCTCAGTCCTGGTCTGCCCACGCTTTGGGCATGCGTGAGCACTCGCAGCAAAACACAGCTGGCACGTCTAATTTTAGCTTTGCCCGCCTTGAAAAGGGACCCTTTAAGGAAATATATTTTCTCTGAAACAATTTGTATTATAATGTAGCAGCTGATAGACATGACAGAATATTATCATTCGTGGGAAAAACCTCTGCCAAGTAATTATGATTTTTTTCCTTTTTTTTTTTTTAGATATCAGTCAAGTGATTTAAGCATCAGTGCATCAAAATAATCAGAGAGACAATGGGAGAAACAGATTTCATTTGTAAAAAATCTGATAAACCTAAGGGATCACCTCTTTGATTTTTACAAAATGGATGTAATAAAAAGAGTTAACTATTTTTGATGTATTCAGTTGATCAGTCCAATCTGATGACATATAGCGTGTTATGGTAGTCCTGAAGTAGACCCTAAAATTTCTTCAATACTTAGCATCCTCCAGGTTTTCCAGGTGGTAAAAGGTTAGTTTCTCAATCAGCTATTGGATTCATCTGGCTCTAGTGCGTTAACAGATTTCGAAAGCATCCGGGACTTACTTTTTCCCCCGTTAACCAGCAAGGATAGTTCCCCTGCCTTTATTTCTTTTCCTTTCTCCTCCTTCCTTCTTTCGTCCTCTCTTCCCTCGCTTCTGTGTTTCGTTTAGCAGTGTGGCTTACCTTGGCACTTGGCAAAAAGAAGAACAAAAAGCGGCTCTTGTGTGGGGTAGATGGAAGGAGGGATAAGAAATAATCCACCGCCCGCATTTGAGTTCTTCAGGTTCAGTTCCAGCGGCAGCAGCGTTGCTGCAAAAATCGCTTGCTATTCGAGATAGCCAGCAGAGGGAATCGGAACTTTGTTTGCAGCAGGGGTTGAAGCAGCCTTTTTTTTTTTTTTCTTGGAGGAAATACTGCAGCCTTCTGGACTGCGTACGCTGCTCCCTGGAGAGGCTCTCTCGGTTCCACCCACCGGCTGGAAGGAGGGGACGTGAATGAAAGGACAGGACAAGCCCCGAACACCATGCCACTCTGGGAGGGAGACAGCAGCAACTAAGCTGTGCAAGGTTTTTTTTTTTTTTTCTTTTTTTTTTTTTTTCTTTTTCCCCTTTCTTTTTCTTTCTTTCTTTTTTTCTTTTTCTTTCTTTCTCTGTCTTTTTTTCTTCTTTCTTTTTCTTTAAGGTGGGGAAAGAGACACCAACCAGGAGACAGGAAGCTGATCTGCGAGGATTCGGAGTTGTGCTAAAAGGACTTTGATTTTTTTTCCCCCTTTACAAAAGCTGGCAATTGACATCACTACAGACAGCCTGGTTAGAGAACAAACTGCCTCATCCCAAGTGGACCCCGGCGGCTGGGGGAAGCCAGGCAAGATCTGGGAAGGCTGTGTGTGAGATCTCACTCCTCCCGCTTTTTTTTTTTTTTTTGCTTTGGTGTGCGTGTTTTTTGTTTTGTTTTGTTTTTTTAAAAAAATTCTTGCTGTGTTGGAACTAACGAGTGGTGGAGTCTCTGAAGCCTCATCAGTCACCGGGACTGTCAGGAATAGTGGTTTAAGAGG